CAAACAGTTATATTACATTTGCAAAGCTGTAGTGGAAAAGGGGGAACGCTTGGAGATTCCACATGATTGCCCTGAACACCAGCAAATAAGTGATCTTCTAAATAAATGCTGGCAAGCTGATTACGCACACAGACCCAATATGCAAGAAGTTCTTGAAATCCTCATTGGTATTGAGGATGGATGGAAGAAAACACCAGGTAGGTTTTGAGCATGTTGGACACAGATTACAATTAAAGATGAATTTTAGTACAACCATGTTAATTTGTTTTTATATTTTCTTCAAAGCCACATTCTGTTTATACACCAATTGCTTGCATTTTATAAATGCTGATTGGTTCATAAAAGGTTGATTGATGAAATCCAACAAATTCAGTTTAATCACATCCAGAAGTATGATGAACATCAGAGAGAAATAAGCACAGTACAAGAAAAGCAGCATTCACTGGTGATGGCCAAAGATGTCACCAATACAGCATAGCGCATCGGAACATGACTTTCTGTCTCTCTATCCTGTCATCAGCAAAGACTTGAAATCACTGAAACAGCCAAATCATCCCCAGCTTGATCCCAAGCTTTCATATCTGAGATTTTTTCCAGGTCTGAGGACTGATGCCATCACTCTGGACAAAATGGGAAGTGATCCCAGAGAATTTGATGGGGCTTGGGGTATGACTGCTACTCAACCAGGTGAGATTGCTGTGGCAGACTGTTGGAACCAGCGAGTGGTGATCTGCAGCAATCAGGGACAACTTCAAGGGAGTATTCCTCTGCAATCAAGTACGTTTCTTTGACATCAACAAACATGAAATAATTTTTGTCTGGACTTATCTACTTTCTATAATTTTTGTCAAGTCACATGTTGAGGTAAATCAAATTATCCATGTGCAAAATATGACTGACAACAGAAACCAAGAGAAAATACAGCACTGGACCTGCAGTGTGGAGACAGAAAACTACTTTCAAAGTGAAATACACTATTGCTTGTAAGTTTTTGGCTCAATTTTTTTTTTTCATTTGAATTCTTCTTTAATCCCAGGTCCATGGGCCATCGCAGCTATCAACTATCATGACAATCAGTTGGTGGTTGTAGATGACACCAAGTATGTCAAGGTGCTCAATAAGAAGAACAAGCTGGCCTTCCACTTTTCAACAGTACTACAGACTGAAGTTGACAAGACAGGAGTCGACCTTCGCAGTGTAGCGGTCAGGAAGGATGGCACCATCCTAGTAGGTGATGTCAAGAGGATGGTGTGGACGGAGCATAGACCCAGTGATGGTCAGCTCCTACACACCATACCAGTGCAGACACCACCCTGGTTCCTGGCCGTTGATGACCACACTGATAGGGTTGTGGTCAGTGGAGGTGGCCAACCGAAATTGGATGTTGTTGCCAGCGATGGTGCAACACTATCCACAATCGAACCAACCATTGATGGGATGCCAGTGCGGGTCTGCTGTGGTGTATGCTTTAACTCTTCAGGTATTTATGTTGTAGTCAGCAATGGGCCCGGCACGGGTCACATTCACCACTATGACAGGGATGGTGTTTTTCTTGCTTGCCTGGCTCAGCGTCTGTTCTCCCCACAAGGAATCACATTCACATCAGATGGGCAGCTGAGAGTAGCCGACAGATCATCAGTCAAGATGTATCACAAGGTGTGGAATGTCCAATGATTGGACATGACACCAACTGGCGATCCCTTTTGGCATCACATCCCAACAGCAACTGTTGATGAAACTGTCCAGCCACTGCAGCACCAATCAACTTTCATCTTCCATTTCTATCATCCATACCATCAAGTTCAAAAACCCAAACACAGTACACTTGAAAGCCCTTCCGTCCCTATTAAACAGACTGTTTTTACATTTGCCCAGCAGAGAACTCCAAAACAGGAAGTATCTGTACCATTTCATCTAGCAATTATTTTTCTTTAACAAATTCCGGTACGCTGCTTATAAATTACTTCCTTGAAGTGGTTTCTGTCACTAGGTACAAGAAAGTACATTTACAAGTAACCCCTCTCAAATTGTAACTGCTTCAAGTATGCATTGCCCTGACATGTACATGTATGTGTGTGCACTAATCAATTTAAATGAATCAAGTCAGGCCGTTATACTGTACCAACCAGCTCTGTGATTGCTGTTGATGAGAGATCATGATGATCCCATTCATTTGCTTCAATATTTTGGTTTACCAGTCACAGGCAATATAAATTGAATCTCGGATTTCAACAAAGACAATTTGTAATTGAACCCCTCGATCATCGGATCAAATTTTATAGCACTCGCTTTCCTTCATTTTATCACGTGTCATTGTTACAGTTTGAGACATGTTTAGAAGCGACATTCTTACGATTCTAGTTGGGATATTTTTCTATCACTCTGATTTTTCACAGAAGTTACATGTACATGTAAATAAGTCCCAACTTACTTGTCCCCTTACACACTCTAAATGAGTATCCTACACTTTATTCTGTTTGCATTTGAAATGCTTTGCTTAATATAAAATGTTTTGGAATTTGACCCAACAACTAAGTTTCCATTTCAGCTGATTTCCGAATTTCAATATTGAACATATGATTTATATATTTCATACTTCTGTGTTGTAGTAATGCATATTTTATTATCTCCATCATGTGATATTTGGGGAGGGGGTAAATAATACACTTGAACTTGAGATATCATAACAGTTGTCTATTTATCAAACATGGACACCATCTTCATGCAAAGTACCAGTATCAAACCCAGAATTTCTGGAAGTACATGTAACTGCCTTCATTGCCCTGCTCCTGGCCTCACTGTCCCCATGCAAAGACCCCAGTCAGTTACTTCAAAGATAAACTGCCTCTTATTCTCTGACGCCTCAAAAAAAATAACCATAGCAACACAGCGGCCTCAAATCATACAATGAAAGGCGCCCCCACTCGGTGGTTACCAAGGATAATGTAATTTACTGTATACACAATAAAATGAAATACCTGAGGTGACCATCTAATATTTGTGAATAATTTAATACATCTTTTTCCCTGAATGACTCACCATGTACGATAGGAGGGTTCCTTCGATGAGTTGTTCTGCAAGAAGGGAGCTTGCGGTATGGATGGTCAAAGGTCAACCTGTCTGACACAACAATCCAATAACACATCAGCAACTAATATAATCCATCGGAATAATACATTCCAGCGGGTAATAACTGTGCATTTTTTTAAAAACATTTTTCAATATTTTTTATCATTTCCCTTTTGACATAAAGAGCAGTTTACTGTCAGCTAAAACATTTTAGTCTAACAAAAAACCTGTTTTCTTTTTGACGAACCTATATGTGGTTTTTTACATGGACATGATGCAAATGAAATTGGGTCCTTAACAGCACACTTTGGACTGATTAATTTATTATTCAAAAATACTGTCATTAAGCGTCCAATTGTCTAAATCCCTCTTACAATGTGAAGGTTTTCTCTCTCTTTTTCTGGATTTGCTATTTTTGGTGACATGGTTCTGTACATAAAGTACAGATGTCATTTCCTTTGTTGTCATGGAAATGGTTACAAAAAAATCTTTCAAGTCAGCCTTCCAAATAACCTTCCAACTACACACAAAATTCGAATTTTACACAAGGACTTTTGAAACACTTTAGATTAAGGAAGTGGCCAGCCTTTCAGCCACTGTTCTGACGGAGGCTGGGCACTCAATAGGCAATGTCTAGAATCACAGCTGTGTCCATGGCGACTCACTATGCGATCATTTGTCACACTGTTTGCCTGCAAGAATACAAAGAAGTCAACACATGAGGCACAGCTTCATTTTGGGTGCCAAGCATCCCTCAGATGTGAAAAATGCCACTGGCTCACACCGCCGGGATCAATTGGTAACTGGCTGCTGGCAAGGTTACCTGCCACACCTTCCCTCAAAAGACATTTCATTAAACATATCCCAAACCTGTCTGTTGAGTGAATGGCAAGGAGGAGAGAACTTATTAATGTTAAAAGCATTCACAAGACAACCAGAGATACACGCAGTGCCTATCAGTATTGGTCTTCCAAGTCCGCCAATATATTATCATTATCCCTGCACATCCAGCTCACAATATCTGAACATGCCTGAAACCATCTGCGTTCCCTGGGGAGTATACTACACTATAGCCCAATGCTTTGTGTCAAGCGCAAGCGCCTAAACATAATAACTATATTTACCCTCACGGGTATCCAACTCCTGGGTGGAGGGAGGCACGTAAGGGGTAAAGTGACTTGGGCATGGTCACAGCATGTGACCCTCTGCCGGGATTCAAACCTAAACCATATGATCAGAAGCTACAACTTAACAACTAGGCTACATGTGCCCCACGTCTCCATCAAACACTGCTGAGTGAGGCAAGCAAAAGGCAAAAAGTTACCAAGCTGGTTTTCATAGTACTTTCTTCCATGTCATGTAGCCATTAACTGCGTTCCTCACAGTAAACAAGGGAGAATTGAGGGTCACATTTAAAGTTCAATCTTTAGCACAGGAGTTGTAATCAATTTGACAGCTTTTGGGCTAGAATTTGGTGTTGATTCTGTTTCATCACATTAGCCAATAAATAACTGCATTCTCTGTTATCAATTGGAGGCTAAAAGTGCACCTTTTCCTTATATTCTGAAAGTTATCACAACGACATGAAACTTGGTTTCACCTAAATTATTTTATTTCCTGATGTCTGCATGCCTCTCCACAGCACTACCATACAAATCCCAGACGATATTTTCCTCTGAGCATGCCCATCCCCAACCCATCATAAACAAGCCCAGCTTCAGGCTCATTTAACTGATCTTTGATGATGTTTACTACCCTGGACACAGCTACCATCCCAATGCCAACTACAACTACAGTTTGGACAATTTCCAAGTAAAAAACCAACCAGTTGAACCAGTCCACTGGCATGCTTGCTGAGTCAAGCACAAACACAACTTGGCAAAAAGACAGGGTTCGTGGACTCTAGCAGAGAGGAAGGAAATCAGACGAACTTCCTATATGACATTACACTGAAGCACACAGTACACAAAAATCCCCAACTAACCCAGTTCATGACACTTGATGTTTCTGCATTCATCCAGGGTTATTTTTATGGGATTCATTCTTTCAAAACCTGACTGTACCCTTGACATCCACGTGAAAGCTCCTAACAAATTTATGTAGTTTGCCTGCCTATTCCCGGTGCTTATTCAACAGTCTGTGCCTGACTAAATTTCCTGGGACTTCAAATCAGGTGAGAAAATGCTTGCAGTTATTTCGGTGAGGTTTCGAGGCTAGGAAATATTTGTGAAATGATGGAATTCATAGACTCCACTTATTAGGAGCAAATGAAAGACAAAATGTTACAGTGTGCAGAGGAGTGATAGGGCTACGCAAACCTGCAAATAACCACTCATGAAGGAGACCCAAAAAAATTGGGATGAAAAACAGTTGTCATTTTAACTGGAAAATATTTGTCTGAAGAGAATAAGCAATACAATGAATGTGTGTTCACTTACAATTGCACCTGTACAATGTAATTATGGGCTCATTTCCTTTTCAAATCTTATTTGTGTGCAGATAACAATGGCAAATGGTTTCAATAAGATCAGTCAGCACTTCACATGTGATATTTGTCAAGACAGATACAAACAGCCAAAGATCCTAGACTGTGTGCACAGCTTTTGCCAGGCATGTCTGGAGGAATACTACACTGGCCGGTACAAAGACGCTCCTAAGATTCCTTGCCCTGTATGTCAACATGAAACAATTCTACCAGATACACGTATTCAAGGCCTGAAAACCAATTTCCATTTGATGGGAATAATTGAAGATGTCTCTAAGGAGGAGACAGTGGCACATTCAGGAGACGAGTCTAAATGTCACAAACACAAAGGAGAAGAGAAATGGTTCTACTGTGAGACGTGTCAAGAGTTAATCTGCCGAGCATGCACAGTTTTAGACCACTGTAAACCAAACCATCAATACATTGACCGTGGGAAAGCTTCTCTTAAATACAAGCAGTCACTGAAAGATGTATTTCTAGATTTCAACACGGATATAAAAGGACTGGAACAATCTTTGGCTGCTTCATCTGCAGCTCAGCAGAAGTTTACAAAGAAAGTCAACAAAACTATTAAAGCAGTGCAGGAAAGAGCAGCTAAACTGAGGGCTGAGATAACAACTCAGGAGAAGACACTGCTGAATAAGATCGATCAAATTCAGCAGGACGGCAACAGAGTGTATGATGAGCATCAGAAATCGATAAGCACAATGCTAGAAGGAAAACAACACATGCTAGAGATGGCCAAAGATGTCACCAATACCCCATCAGAGTGTGACTTTCTGTCCCTCTATCCTATCATCACTGACGACTTCAAATATCTGAAGAGTAAAACTCCTCCCCGGTCTGATATCGAGCTATCATGTCCAAGCTTCACTCCGGGTCAGTGGACTGGCGCCATCTCTTTGGGCAAGCTGGAGGAAGACAAGTGGGAGATGTGTTGTGGGTTTGGCAAACGGGGAAAAGGTCCAGGAGCGTTTGATGGGGCTTGGGGTATCACTGCTACTCCACCAGGTGAAATTGCTGTGGCAGACTTTTCAAACAAGAGAGTGGTGATCTGTAGCAATGAGGGACAGCCCAAGGAGAGCATTCCCTTACAATCATGTAAGTTTCTGCAGCACACAAGCACACCCATTATGATTATTTGTGCCAGTTCATATCTTGAGTGAAATGAAATCATCCAAATGAAATATGCACTGGGCTTTATTCTATGTTCCATATGCACAATGTCTCACAAAACATGACAGGTACATGTACATGTATATATTATTTCTTTCTGAAGCAGATCAACTTATTTACATCACCCCTTATCATGATTAATGGCGGTTGGTTGTAGTCCAACAAAATTACTTTATATTCACTTTCTGGTAACATGAAGACGTTCTGAAAATATGCCACATCTATTTACTATGCTTTTTTTTTACATTTCAATTCTTCTTTATACCTACTTCTAGATCCACGTGACATCGCAGCTATCCACAATCTTGACAATCAGTTGGTGGTTGTAGATGACACCAAGTATGTCAAGGTGTTCGATAAGAAGAACAAGCTGGCCTTCCAGTTCCCCACAGTGCCACAGAGTGAGGTTGACAAGACAGAAGTGAACCTCTGGAGTGTAGCAGTCAGGAAGGATGGCACCATCCTAGTGGGTGATGTGGAGAGGATGGTGTGGACGGAGCATAGACCCACTGATGGTCAGCTCCTACACACCGTACCAGTGCAGACTCCACCTTATTTCTTGGCTGTTGATCACTGCACTGAGAGAGTTGTCGTCTGTGGAGTAGGCAAACAGAAAGTGGATGTTGCTGCTAGCGATGGTGAAACACGGTCCATAATCGAGCCAACCATTGATGGGAAACCAGCACGGTGCTGTCGTGGAGTGTGCTGCGATGGCTCAGGAATTTACATTACAGTGTGCAATGAGCTTGGCACTGGCCATATTCACCACTATGACCTAGACGGTGTTTTTCTTTCTTGCTTGGTTCAATATCTGCGGACCCCATGTGGAATCACATTCACATCAGATGGGCAGCTGGCAATATCTGAGCCTTACTCTGTCAAGATGTACCAGAGGGAGAGTTTTGTCATCTGACATGACACCAACCAGCAATGTCCTTCTTCATCAGCACCCAATAGCCAACGTTGATGATGAAACTGTCCAGCCACTGCAGCACCAAACATGCTCTAAATTATTCATCGTCTATTTTCAATTTCTTCATTTAACATTCTTTCAGATATGTATGTTTGTCAAATGTTTGTTTACATTCTCATGTATATTTGTTGCCTTCATCTTTCTCAACTCATTTGGTATTTTGGCCAGCAACCTTCGTCCATCCTCCTCTACTGCATGTCTGCAGGAAACCAATGCTACACGTACCGGTAGGTCAGGTTGGTGCAGTGGTTCTTTTGTCGCCTTCCACGTGCTGTGGCCTGGGTTCAATTCCCAACTGGGTCCACATGTAAATTGGGTTTTTCAGTCCACACCTGATTCCATGGGTTTTCACCCATAGTATTCTCCAGGGGATTTCCTCCCATCTCTAAAACTATAAATGCTTCCCACTGTCTCCTCTCGACAGATTTGGGCCGTTTGGTGGCAGCCTGATGAGGAGCCCTTATGCATGCTTTTGACTCACATTGTAAATCTGAAAAAGATCCATCAAAAGCACTGTTGTGCAATGCGCAGGGTTTACCCTCATGTAAAAAAAAAGACAAAAAAGCTGCATTCTTGCCATTAAAAACTTTCACAGAACATCAAGCCCTGCTAGTATAATAGTGGATAAGTTCTATTTTTGTTAGTCCTGGAAAATCCTTCCAAAACTCTTAGTGGATTTTGAAGGATCTGTGAGGGTTAACTTTTATTTGCTCTGGGATTTTTTGTAGTTACTTTTTCTTTTTTTGGCTTAAAGGTTTTCACATTGAATGAAACAGTGAATATAAGGTTTAGAAAAGTTAACTCATCAAACTATTTTTCAAAGACGAGAGACAATGTTTAATATGTTACATATTTGTGTAGTGTGTCTATAATAAGTCATAAATCATCTTACAATATTTAACCGTAAATTGAACACTAAACTACGTGTCCTTGCATTTGTACAGTTTACATCCTTCATCTATGTCTTGTTATTTTGTCAAGTCTTACTGTAGAAATATGTGAACGTTTTCAAGATGGCAGCTGTTACAAAAGTTACAATGTGAGCCACTTAAGACACCTTTAATCCCATTATCCTTCAGACATGGCTCATTTTCGGGAATTTGTTCCAAAAGTGACCTTCTTGATTTGATTTTACGTATAACTGTTAGAGTCTTTGAAGCACTTTCAAGATCACTTTATCCTTCCAATATAACATCCTTACAAGCTGAATGGCTGCTTACCATGTGTCACTCATTCACTTCGCTTGTAAGTATCATGCATATTCATTAGTATTTAAAAGTGACTGAAATGTACCAGTATTTACTCTAGCTGTTGTTGACTTTGACATTTTGGCTGCTTGCATTTATCATGACATAAATGGCTTTGAAAGTGTACGCACTTTTTCAAACTACTTGATACATGTACATGTGTGTTAGTAAAATTGATACACCAAAAACTTCACAGAGAAAAGGCTGCAAATAATCCTACAAACAAAAAAGAACCAATTTAGTTGAAATTTAATGACTAATATGTGGTCAATCGTACACATGGCCTTTAGATTTGACCAGCATGGTCATTTGATTGTAGAATGACCAGTAGACTTACCTCAAGTACTTCTTGATTCTCAATGACTCCAGGTCTTGCTACAATTTGACTCTCTCGTCTTGGACTCTTCCCAGCTGAAAAATCCAGAGTTTAAAGATTACTGCTTCTGACTTAACAAACAGCCATATTTGAATTTGAAATTGAAAAAGTGGTAAATAAAAACAAACAACTGCATGCCTTTGGTGGAAATGTAAAGTGTGTACATGTCGTGTAAAAAAACTCCTGTATTGAGCCCCATCTTCATTTCAATACAAAATAGCAGACTTACAGGTATGACACAGACTCATCAATTTGTCTTAATACTGTACACAAAACAGTCTTTGTTTTATTTCTATTGAACATCAAAAGTGTAACCAATACTCATGTTTTATTTCAAGTTCCAAGAGTAAAGAAGACATTTTTCTTGCTTTTGGATATGCGGCTTTTCACAAGGGATGGATTACATTGGCATCACCAGCTGGGGGGGGAGGCTGGGCCAACTTGCCCCTCGGCAACATTTGGCTCTTTTCCAGGAAATGACAGGGCCAAGTGAAACTACAACAATGAGGTCAAAGACCTCATCATCCCCAGGGCCCCAAGACGTTAATCAAGATGTTTGATTAAATCAATTGATCAACTGTATCTGCCCTGAGCAGGACGAAGAGAGGGCACACTTTTCCTATGTGTGTAGCAACAGGGCTCCTTTTGTATGAACTGTACTTTGCTAGTTTATACAAATGACTATAAAATGCACATATTACGGTCAACATAACTATCATCAAAATAAAAACTCTCAACCAACATCGCTCTCTTCAGTCCATGAAGCGGTGCTACTGCTCAAGGCAGATAACCATTGCTAAGTCAAATGGTTTGGGGTTACTCTTTTCTGAGTATATAATAATGTAACTTAAGTATCATCAAGCAAAACTAAAATCACAAAGATACAATTCAGGGCGCGAGGTACCATCAATATATCGCCAATCAGAGCAAATTTCTCATAACACTTCTGAACAATCCCAATGAAGCTAGTTCCTAAAGAATCTACAGTATGACCTGGTACCCAGTACCTGGGCTTTATTACTTCCCGATTGAGCAGTTGAGTAAAGAACTACAAACCTCTGCTTCCTGCCAATTTTTTAATTACTCTAAATTACATAATGAGAAAATGTTTCCTAAAGCATATCATCACATCACTTTTTACATGTGCATGTACGTGTATGTGCATGTAAATGTGATCCAAACATTCTAAACGACATACACTGGATCAATTCAATCGAGTCAAAATGGCATCCTTCTTGGATTTCCTGTTTTTGTTCAAGAGGTTCCCTGTGGGATGTCCTTTCCTTTCAGTTCGAGTGTTCTTCAGTTGGACCAAGACAACAGACCCTTCAGTGCAATTCCAGGATAAAAATACAGAAAGAAGATGTCGGGAAAAGAAATTAACAATCTTTGCCACCAAGAGACATGGCTGGCCTTTGATGATGTGACACCCAATCACAGCTACACCACTCAACTACTGTACAAATACGGTTGGTACACATGCTCACATACATGTACACAAATGTAGCTTTCCCCTTGTTCACTCAGGCATAGACATGTACACGTACATGTATGTACACGTATTTTGCAAACACACAGGGTTCATGAACTTTTACACGTTTGATGCACACAACACCCCCAGTAATCCCAAGCTGTATTTGTAAACTACATCTCGTTACTTGACTGACATTTCTGTGTATGCTCACCGCCATTTCTCTGGGATGCACCCCTTCAAAAGCTGCCATTACACACTGCAGCACAAAAGATAACATCCGACCCTTCTAATTGCCAGAAGGTGACTTACATTTACATGAGACTTCAAAGGAGGTGAGAAAATGCTTACAGGTGCTACAAGTTAATGTTAAATGTCAAGATGACATTTGTGAATTCCACTCATCAACAGCAATGGAATAACAGTTTGCCTTAGACTGCTGATTGTGTATTCTTTCCAAAAAAAGGAAATTAATATGAATGGGAATCATAGAATTAAGTATTGAATAAATAAAGTTAGGTCCCAATTAAAATTGCTAAATTCCAATCGTTACATGTATTATTATAATGCCTCACCAACTGTTTCTGTATCCTGATTAGCCAAGAGCCAGTCACATGACAATCACTCTCATTCTGTGCACAGCAAAATGAACTGTAC